CTTAAAGGTGCTGTTAAGCCTGAGGGCTGACAACGTACACGTGCATCAAGATACTGCAGTTGTTAAACGCCCCATCGGTATGACTAATGGGAACAAGCTACTTTTTCGTCGAATTCTATTTTTTTCTAAACTGACTTCCGAGGCGTGTAGTTAGATGGTAGCATCAGAACGGCCCTTATTTAGCACCTTTACCCACATGAAGCCCGTAGTCGAGGCCGCTAATCTGGTGCATTTAGTGCCAAACTTCACTCTAGATTTGTTTAAAGCCAACATCCTTCATGAAAATTACTTCCAAACCCCTTGTTAAAGTCGAAAACGGGTACGTGGAACTTATTAGTTCACATGACATTACTTCCAATCATTGTCCCTACTTCTAATTACTTATTGGGCTTTATTGACACAACACGGTTTCGCAAACTATATCTTAAAACAACTTTCCAAATTAAAGTGTTTATAGACTTCGTCAGCTAACTGAGGAAGTTATTTAAAATACAGATGCAATTTCATTAAAAGGCTTACAAGGAAGGTTTGATGAAGTAAAAGCACAAAAAATCATTCAATATATTTTACCATTAAAATCAAATTTAATTATTCACCCTTAGTGACTGGGCATTTCAGCCACTACTCATTTAAGCATTTGTCCACGCGTAACAAAGGTGAATTGAGGTGGCCTTCAACGTATAATATCAGACTTGATTTTGATTTTAGGAGTTCCGGATAATTTATCCTGATACAATAAGAAACTAGGCAAACTAGATATTATTTTTGGAAGAAACCAGCTAGGGTAAAATATATTGCTACGTGAACTAATCCATGCAGTAAGTTTAAAGTAAAATTTTAAAAATTGAAAATCACTTCGCCGCAGATGTGATTAAATAATGAATTTAATAAATGCCCATTATTTAGAAACCTGTTTTCCATACACATTGAATTGATCATACATCTAGAAAAATAAAGCCTTATGTCCTTGTAACTATTAGTCGCTGTCAACCAAATGGCGAGATTCACTGTTAAAACGTCATGAAATTTGAGCATATTTCGGAACCAAGCATTAATGTCTAATTTATCTTTTCTGTTAATAATCATTCTAATGAAAAGTACCTGCACTCTTGATGAATTCGACTTGTGCTCTTCATCACACTAACATTTACAGCTTATTATGGAGAAATATAGACATCTGTGACTTTTTGCGGTGCTAGATTACCATTTATTATGACGGATTTCCTGATAACCTTAATTTTAAATATACTAACAGGCTGAGTTAAAATGTGTCCAATCTATGAGCTTAGAAGAGGCCAGAATCAAGTCAACCTTTTTTTATTAGCATCGCTACTTAATTAGAAGTTCAAACAAGGTAAGATTCTAGGTGGTACTCACAAGTATGGTTTAATGGATTACCTTTTTTTCAATTAATAAAAACTCCTATTTTCGCACAACGTAGATCATGCTCAATCTTTGTGATTTGAGATTAACAGTAAAAGGGCTTTTATTCTTTTGGAATAAAATGCGCGACTGACTAAATCTTTTTTGTAAAACACGAACTCCTTGTTATTCCGCCCCATTTTGTCAAACACAATGCAAAACAACTAAAGCTTAGAACCAGAGAAAAGTGCCATTCAAGCACGAGTTCGTCCCAAAGCCATAATTTGCAAAATGCAAAGAACATGATTTCCTACTTAGTTTGATTTAACTTTGTATATGCATGGACCTTCATTACAGAATAAATATTTACGTTTAGCATCAACCTGTGTCAAACTGACATCGCTAAAATAATCAAGCTCTTCCGTGTAATCGTACTTGTTCGGCACTAGCCGAGAGGAAATCAAGAGTAAACATAAAAATCTGCTAAAACGATCTGGCTGAAATTTGCGGACGCAAGAATTATTACTATGGCCTGCCTGACTGCCAATTTCTCTGTCCTTGAAAATATCAATTTTTCTCCAACTAACAGAAGTATTCGAAAAAAAAAACTTTAAATCTGTATCAATGAGGATATTGTCACGGGAAACTCCTAGTTAAACCCTGCACAAATATTTATGAAACTACTGATACTATTCCTGAAACCTATAATGGATTAAATAAGGGTGAATCATGCTGATTCACGGCCAATAACCCGGTCGTCGCATTCCCCCTACTCACTGTCCTCCCTTGTCACGGCGTCTCGTTGTTTATGCGGCATGGTCGATTTAAAAATCACTGCGCGTGTACTGCCACCCTGCTTCTTGCTTCAGATGAGGCTTGGTAAAAAGCGTTTCATGTAAAAAGAAGAAGAATGCTGGCAAATTTAAGTAAATGTAGAATTTGGCCAATGATTTTTCTTTTTCGGAAAACCCTTGGATTTCTCTAATTGAAACCTATCACGAACACGGACTTGTTTGTCAGGTTTGCGGAGGGCATGCAGACAAATGACTGCGTGTCGGCGTCGCACAGTAACGAGTCCGCTTCCCACGGAAGTAGGCGAACCGGCTTGGCTGATGCTATTTGCTTCATCTCACGTCTCTATTTAGGACAATTATGTTCCTATATCTTCATTCTAATCAGTTTAGCCTCAAAAAGCAGAAATGGCAAAGCATCAAATTTGTAGCTTAAGATTCCCGTCATTACGTTGTGACTTTTAGGCCCTATGTTCATAAAAAAGGGGCTTTGAGAGATTTTGGCCACCATTTTGTAACTAATCAATGTTAAAAACGGACTTAAAACGGTGTAAGAAACTTCAGTGCCTGGCCTAGGAGATAATGCTTCCGTCGCATGTGTTAGGCTAAAAGGCAACTCCTAAGAAATAAAATTCGGACATCAGCAAACCAAAATGGTGTATCATTGAAAAAATCCACCCAGAAAGGCCAAATAGTAATGCCCGTGTCTAAGCCGTTATAGGTCTTTGTTGAGTAAGGTGTCAGTACTAACTTGAAAACTCTTTTACTCCAATCATAAATCATATATCTTAGCTCAACGTCAATTTCCTTAGCTGGGAACGATTGATGTCTTGATTTGACGACTGCTACTGAGGCCTAAAAAGGTACCTTGAACTCCCATCCTTTCCTTTCATTGCCCAGCTGGAACCACCTAAAGTTGTGTAGAGCAGACAAGTTAGGAATAATTTCGAAGGTCATGGGGCCTTAAATAAAATCAGTTGTCTACGATGTACCTCTACCTAAATGAAACTTTGATTCGATGCAGAAATGTCTTAAATTTTATGCTAGCAACGTGAGTTACCCTGATGCATACTTTTTAACCACAGACATTTCCCTTAGTCCATGGTGCTGGAGCTCACCTGGGACTCACACCAGAAACCGATGGTTCTCAAAGTACTTAATCGATTTGATAAATGCACCTAATTAGTATTGTCGCCATAAAGGCAATTTAATGCACACCGCGTTTGGGCAATATGTTGGCTAGTAGATCGTTCAAGGTCCCATGACGTCGTTCTTACCTTTGCGGTAAACTTTAGTTGTAAAGGACACATCATGCCCCTGGGCTTAGCCCAGAACGGCTCACCGGAGGCGAACAAGTTTTCGCATTCTTCGTGTTCGCGTAATTAAGACAGGAGGCTTTAAGAAAATCAAGTTCCCTGTCAAATTCGACAGTTTTGTGTCATGAACCCCCGGAACAACTTAAGATCTTTGTAATTATGTGTGATGTCCCAATTTTACTGAGTGGCATGGTTGTGTGATATTTTGCAATAGCTTAAAAATCTAATACTAAAAACAGAACAATAAATTATTTAAAACCAGAGATTTTTCAATTTTTGCTGATCCATGAAACCAAAAATTTATGGTCATTAGTGTGAGTTTTCCTGACTATCGCAGATGAATGTAGTAGTCTTCCCCTAGATCCGTGATGTTCCTTGTTGCCAATCACCAACCAACCACAAAAGCGTATTGCTCAAATTCTCCATGCGATTGGTTTTTGTGAAATTCGGAGTTTCTCAACCGGGACAAAAAATGTTTTGTAGGCACTTTTTTATACGTCGGTGATTCTAAGATTGGCGACACAATTCCTGCCACACTAATTGCTCAGACCACGATGGACCTCCAATTAGATGCGGTTTGGCCCACTAGGTTAGCCATATTTTTAGCTTTGTTGATATAAGCACTAAAAATTGCAATCACTCGTCGAAAATATTTTTAAAAACTACCATTGACCCCTGTCCATTTTTTGAAGTTATGTTCATACCTAAAAATAAATTCACAAAAGGGTAGGCACTTAGGAAGCTAGTTGGCAATTTACAAAAAGGATAGGGTACATTTAAGCATAACGGCTAGATTTAGTGCGTCAGTTGCATCATCGTAACAAATCTGAAGGTGCTACCAACAGTAAGCCCACCACCTTTTAGCAGTGTGCTACACTGGCAAACTTCACATTGATTCTTGCTTTTGTAGGTTTGAATCATGGTCAGAACACCCTAACAGATTTCCCGAAATCTATAAAATTATCTGACTTTGCCTCGAATCTTTGCTACCGAAGCATAATAGAGGCTGTAAGCATGCGTTTAATTGTCTTTTATGGTTAGCTTGTAAGTGTACCTTGAAGACCAGCTCCATGTTCTTATTGGGAGGTAGCTAGCCAGACGATGCAGGATAATGCGATGTGAAGTTTAAGTGTTGATTACAGCCGTTGTGACCGTTTCCTGAGCAGCCCTATGAAAACAGTGCATTACATTGCACAAAGCCGAAAATATGGAAAAAAACTCTTTGGAAAAGAATGAAAGGATTAATCTAGACCACCATGACCTGAGTTTATGAAGTGACTATTTTAGCCTGAGAAGAAAAATCTAAAGTGAAAATAAACGTAGCTACAGAAGACATTAAAACTGATTTATATTTACTTTGAATTTTCTCATTTGATAATACACAGAAGCGATAGTAGAATGGAAGAAAAGTTAATGATCTTATCGGGAAATCACCAGACGTCAGTGTGGCGCATTGTGCATTTCACGTTCATCTCACCCGTCAGCGCAAGTCCACACAATCAGCCGTGTAGTCTCAGGGCCCCAATCTCTAATGCCAGCACGTCTGGTCATGCACCCTTCCCTTGTCACTCTTACCGCGCATTACATCATTTATCTGAACCGTATCGGCTACAAGCTGCCATTAGTCACGCCCTTCCTGCGACCTATAAGCATACGCAACCTTGTACGCGTAACAAAACACGTGTGGGCGATTAAGCGTCTGAGTCCCTTTCCCTCCCCTTCTTATCTGGGTGCTTTGTCCCCCAAGAAATCCGTACCGCCGACGTTAGTTTATCACTTATTGCGTGAGGATGAGTTCATCGAACAAGACGAGGATCCATTACGAAAATCGGATCGAAAAGCTGTGAATGCTGTGAATGAACACGAAGAAAAGTATCGAGGTTAACTACGCAAAACAAAAACGTTACACAAATCTACCAGAAATAATTTCGTAACTTGAAGGTCAGGTGGGAAATTTGATGCGCGCGTGTTCGTTGACCTACATTTCCCCTATCCTCGTAATTTGCGCTTTTGCCAGCTGCTGCCGCAAGGGCACTTCACAGTATTTTTTCACACCTGGACTTTTAAGACCCTCGCCCTACGTGAAGTTAACCTCAGTGCGTGTACTTATTTGAAGACATGAGATCCTTCGCACAGTCGGAGCTAAATATCTGGTGTGCCCACAGGTGTGAGCTACACTTGAAGGTGGTTCCTGTCGGAGGACAAGTAATTTTCAAAACACACACGCACAAATGCTTGATCAGTGCAAATAGAAGTCGTGTGGAGCGCTAAAGGGCAAATCACGCCACTCAGGTGTCAATTAGACTGGAGACACAAATCTTCTTAAAAAATGAACTGATTCTCATTAAATGTATGCAGAACACACACCAACAATTTAAGCAATGAAACCTCGTTGATTTCATGCTTAGTTATGCTTAGCTAATCTAGGTCCTGCACTGACACTGTAGGGGTCTAATGTGAAGCAACAGTGTGTGCATCTTTGAATAATAACGGTGTGTTACAGACTATTCCTTAATGTCTTAACGAGGATAAGAGTTGATAAAATTTTATTTTAAAATATCTTTACTACATATCTGACATTTATTTTGAAGCCCACGTGTTGAACAGTTTGGCTGCTAAACCAAAAAAAGTGAACTCTATTGGATTGTTTAATGCCTTTAGAATGCCCGTCTGCTACCGTGCATTGAATCATGGCGCTTCATGTCCATTGATTCTGTCGCCGCAAGCCCAGACACCCCGGCTCTCGTCTCAGGGTCTCCTTCACTGAGGTTGACATGGCTACACACACGCACACACCTCTGTGCGCGACCTCCCCTGCCACGCACCTTGAGGCCATACACTCGGATATTTGCTTGTTCACTTGAATTCTGTCTGTTAACAACCACCATTGCCCAAATCCGTCCTGCTCATGACTTTTTAAGCAAAGCACGCGCACATACACAACATGGCTGAGCCATCTGATAAAAGATTGTCTCCGCCATCCCCAGCCCTCTTAATCCTACTGGGTTCCAGCCTAGTGTAATCGGCCCAATGCAACGTGACAACTTTAGTGTGGTTCGAGACCACATATCAGCTGGGCATCATAAACAACCCAATTTTCAGGATTTCTGTCTATGCATTTATAGCAAGGGAAATTACCTTTTAGGTAAATTAAGTAAAGACAAATAAATCGGGACTCCCGGGTCCCATTTGTCAGTTTTTGGGATCCTTGTGGAATGCATCCAAAGCACCGTTTGTTGAATCAAATCGTATATTCTAAGTGGAAACAATTAAAGTACGCTTTCAAATTATAAAGATTTACTCACATCAGAGATGAATTGCATATTTTATAGAAACTATTTATTAAATTTAGCGCTGTGAAATCACGAGAAATGGCATCAAAATTTTGAACGAGTTTATTTATCGATGTCTCACAAGCGATCATCCGAAAAAGGGTGGTTTCGGTCCAATAAATCCGACTAGCTACTAAACAGACAGAATTTTAAAAGGTTCCACTCTTCGCAAAACAATTTAGTAGTTGGTAAAGCAAACTAGAAACCACCTTAACCAACAATCCATCATGTGTTACTGTTCAAATTTGCTGACCCTTCTTTTATTACTGGATGCGAGATGCACTTCCTGAAGACTCCTCTGAACTTCCTGCGACGATTTGGCATATCCAGCTGTGGTGGCGTTTGTTTCGCACGGAAATGTGTGCCGTGATCACTTTACGTCCGATGCCACCGAGCGCACAGAAAAAGCTTTTGCTGCACTTCTGCCGACCGATCTGTCAATTCGCTTCCCACGTCAAAAGACACTTGCACCCTTCCATGACATGCTTGTCACCATAGCCGGAAAGTGACGCTGCCATTTTCAAGCTCTTGCTAGAGCCTTACTCCCAACGTTCTGACGAAGCACAAACTCTCAGCTCGCTTACACGAATTTTGAGTGCGGAAGCGATAACCGATACCCAACTAAAACGCGTATCACTGATCAGCTAACTACTCATTACTTGCCTGGTTGTTAGCCCAGTCAACAACTTTCAAATGCCTTTGTTACAGATTGAAGAACAGCCTGACTGTCTACAGACTACAATTCTCACAACCACCTTTGACATGCTCTACGCCGAGGACATCACAAACTTCGTAGTTTTGCTACAGCGCCATTACTTCTTAAACACCAAGTGGCATGCTCATTCCACAAAACTCTCCACTTAGCTGATTTCAAAACACAAGTGAATAAAATGCTGGATACTACAATCGTTAGTGAGACAGAAGGACATCATCTCAAAAAAACAACAGGAAGAATATAGCCCATTCGGATTGCAATTAGACAACTACTGTCTCCACAAGTCTATTCCACTCTACAGCGAACTGTCTTTTGTGTGTCTTTTTGACGATCCTTTCATGTAAATGCATGTTATGCAAACATTAATGCGTAATCCTGCATAGTACCGCCTGAATAATTTGTGAAGAGGCATTCACCATCAGAGTTATTAATTTATACACGTCGGCAGTGTTTGGCTGTGGAATGAGCTAAGGACTTGCTTGGACTATCAGTAAAGGCGATGCAAAGTGTGATTTGATAAATTCAAAGGAAGTTGTGTTAGTTCC